ACACTCCTCAACAAAATGAGTTAGTCGAGAGAAAAAACCGTCATTTCCTCAACATTGCTTGCTTCATTTTGTTTCAACTTTAATGTCTTGAAACATTTTTGGAATGATGTCATTCTAAATATCACATATCTCATAAATAGAGTTCCCCCCAAAATTCACAAATTTTGAACCCCTTTAGCTGTCCTGATGTCTCGCCTCCCTACCAATCGGAGCACTGCCCCTACTCAGAGTAAACTTGATCAAAGATCTATAAAATGTATCTTTCTAGGATACTCCACAACTCAAAAGAGGTATCAGTGGCTTGATCCGACCATAAACAAAGTCTACGTGAGTATCGATGTCTTCTTATTTGAAAGTGTTCGTTATTTTTCTAGCTCAACCTCTAGTGAGGGGGAACTTGAGTTCCCCGACATTGTCCCTTATCCCACTCCTATGGGTGGTCCTCCCATTGTACCTACCACTGAGGTGTGTCATGTCCCTTTGAATGCACAATTTCCTCCTCCCATTGTTCGTGTCTACACTCGGTGCACTCGTCCGAATGCTCCTACTCTGATCCCGCTACCTCAATACAAGACCTCGACTGCACTCCGGGCGACATCCTTAGCGCGACCTTCTTCCGAATGAGGAGGTGAGTCTCTGAGTAAGGTACATAATCAGATATACTCTATCTATTTTATGACAAAATATGTCTCTTTCCATAGTTTATTGTCGATTTATAAAGCATTTGCTACTGTCCTGATGGACCATCAAATCCCTGCTACTATTGAAATTGCTCTTGCTGATCCAACTTGGAAAATAACAATAATGGAGAAGATTAATGTTCTTCAGCGGAACCATATGTGGGGCGTAGTGGACCTTCCTCGAGATAAGAATACTGTAGGGTGTCGATGGATTTTCATCACTAAGTTCAACTCTGACGAGTCCTTTGAATGCAACAAGACAATATTAGTCGCCAAAGATACTCTCAGACCTATGAAGTTGACCATGATGAGATATTTACTCTAGCGGCTAAGTTAAACACTATTCGAACCCTGTTGTCACTTACGGTGAATCTGGATTGACCTTCATTCCAACTAGTTATTAAGAATGCATTCTTGAATAGAGAGATGAAAGAAGAGATGAACATATCTCTCCATTCGGTTTTTGATTCTACTACTCCCAGAGGACAAGTGTGCAGGCTACGAAAGCCCTTTATGGGCTAAGCAATCCTCAAGGGCTTGGTTTGGCAAGTTCACAAAGGTGGTCGTGGGCCATGGTTTACGCACGCAAACTCAATCGAATCACACTCTCTTCTTCCTACATTCCTTCAATGGTCGGGTCGCTATCCTTATTGTCTATGTTGACGATATTGTTCTTGCATGTAACGATCTCCCAACATTGGAGACTTTAAAAGACATTCTTGCTTCATCCTTCAAAACGAAGGACTTGATATCTCTCTGGTACTTCTTAGACATGGAAGTGACTCGATCGTCTCGGGGAATTTGTCCGTCTCAGCGCAAATATGTGATTGATCTCTTGACAGAGAACGACCTTTTTATGTGCAAACATGTTGTTTCTATGAATCCTAATGAAAATTTATCTTACATTCTCAATGTCGTGCTTATGAGAAAGACTCATCTACCTCACTCCTACTCGCCCCGACATATGTCACACAGTTGGAATAGTGAGTCAATTCATGCATGACTCCTATGAGCACCACCTCAAGCTGTCCGTTGTATTCTCTACTACTTAAAAGGTACACCGGACTCATGTTTGTTTTTCTCTTGTCACACCTCTAGGTCTATTGCGGTTTATACAATACTGGTTGGGCTGGATCAGTACATGATTGACGTTCCACCTCGGGTTATTGTTCATTTGTATGGGGCAATCTTGTCACGTGGAAAAACAAAAAAAATAATATGTGGTTGCTTGAAGCAGTGTTGAAGTTGAATTCATATTTATGTCCTTAGAAATCTGTGAAGCTCTCTGGCCACGCACCATGCTCCGCGAACTTCGTATGCCAACATCCATCCCGCTGCAGCTATTTTGTGATAATAAGACTGCAATCAACGTTGCTCACAATCCAATCCAACATGATCGTACCAAACATATGAAGATCGACATACATTTTATTAAGAAAAATATTGAGTCTGGGGAGATTTGTGTTTGCCCTTAAATGGTCAACTAGCGGACATCCTCACCAAGGATATGCCTCGTCATTTGTTCGATGACTTCATGTCCAAGTTGAACATGACTTACATCTTGCTTCAACTTGAGGGGGAGTATTAGATTTTAACGGTTTTTCTTAGCCGTTATTACTTATTATTTGCTCTTATTCCCTTATTATGTATTTCCTATTTTGTTTTATTCTATTTTATTTTCGTTCTTAGTTATTTTATTTTATTTTATTTCTTTTTTTTATTATGCTTATTGTAATTGAGGTTAAATACCTCTCCTCCTATCAATAATATTGAGTTGTTATATTTCAAATCTCAAAATATAAGAATACATGATTCAACCTAGGCAAATTCAAATTTGACCTTGGTCAAGTTGTCCTCTTTCCACTAGTGTATCCTGCAAAAATGAAGATAGATTTACTAAAAGGTCCAACACCAGTTCAAATTTGCCATAATTGGTTTAATCAAACTCGACAGTTGGTTTTTGCGTGTCTTACTTACATGGAGGAGTGCCCTAGCAACTGATGCACCTCCTTTCCAAGAAAGGATTTTGAAGTTCATTAGGAATGACAGAGCAGTTTAGCGGAAAAAATTTGCATACGTAAGGCGTACGTTGCGCTGCACATGTTTTGGAGGTTATACAAGAGGTATAAGGGAATTATATCTGCATTGTACCTCCTTGTAACCTCCATGTAACATTCTATAATCTACCTTTAACCTACAAATAAGTTCTTAATATATGAAAACAGAAGCGCGAAACTTATTTGGAAACTTATTTGCAGAAGCGCGAAACTTATTTGTAGGTTACAGGTAGGTTACAAAAAGTTACATGGAGGTTACAATTAAGTATAGCGCGGATATAACCCCCTTATAAACTCCAAAACGTGTGCAGCGCTGCGTACATCTTACGTACGCAAATTTTTTCCCAGTTTGGCAGCCTCAATAGCTCTTTTCAAACCCTCATTTAATTGACAATTAAACACCAGAACTGATTGGACAGTTAAAAATAAATAGCCTGCCTACCTACCTTAAATTACCCGTAACAATTGTTACGGGTGGCAGATACCCAATAGAGACATGTTACCCGATAAAACAACCTAGTAAATTACCCGTAACAATAGAGACATGTTACCCGATAAAACAACCTAGTAATAAAATAATAGACATGTTTTAGACCAAAAAATCCTCATTAATACACAAATAATATCTTAGAAAGTCTAACAGAAATTTGTCCAACAGTATAATAGCAAATTACATAGAAGTAAATAATTTAACATTCAACATTGACTAGAGGTTTAAAGTATTTTACACTTAAGATTTCTAATTATAAAATGTTAAATTAGGTTTGGATATTGGGCATTCAGGAGGCTAATATCAAACTCTCTTAGGCTATCCCAGTGGATTTCTCTCTAAATATTAAATCTGAATAACTGTCCTAGCAGATCTAAAATCAATTGCTTTATTTGATTCGGTTGGGTTGGATATTCTTTCAGAAAGGCATAATCATTATCCCCATGATGTACATGTTAATTGGTTTCTTTTGAACATTGTAGCACTTGTGTCTCCATCCCACACCTCTTTCATTACTTAGTTTTGAGAATGGGTAATTTTTTTGTCTCTGCTTTATGGTCTTTTAGTGTTAACCAGTTGCATTGTTGGTAGATTCACTCAGCTTTACGGATTTGCTGGCTACTGTATTTTTTTCCTGACTCCCATATGTCTGTTTCCATCATAAGGGCTCTGCCATGGTGCCTTTCAAGAAGGATACAGCAAACTTTGTTTCTTTAGAAGCATAGTCGTTTGTTTTATTCTTTCCTATTCCACCATAATTTTTTTCTTTCATACCATTGGTCACTCTTGCAAGGTTTAATTCATATTTGTCAACAATTCAGATAATAGAGGGAAATATGTGGTTAAATGATACCATCGGATTTGTTCCCAAAAATTCATGGTCAATAGATCCATTTGGTTATTCAGCTACCATGGCATACCTTCTTCGGCGAATGGGCTTCAGAAACATGCTCATCCAGAGGACCCATTATGAAGTGAAAAAGGAGTTATCTTTGCACAAAAATCTTGAATATATATGGAGACAGAGCTGGGATGTGGATGAAACGACAGATATATTTGTCCACATGATGCCGTTCTACTCTTATGATATTCCACACACTTGTGGACCCGAGCCAGCTATATGTTGCCAGTTTGATTTTGCTCGAATGCGTAGTTTTGGGTACGAATACTGCCCTTGGGGAATTAGCCCTGTCGAAACAAGTCCTAGTAATGTGCAGGAGAGAGCATCAAAGCTTTTGGATCAGTACAGAAAAAAATCAACTCTTTATAGAACCAACACACTTCTTGTTCCTCTAGGAGATGATTTCCGTTATGTTAGTGTTGATGAAGCAGAAGCTCAGTTCAGAAATTATCAACTGCTCTTTGATTACATAAATAGCAATCCCACTTTGAGGGCTGAAGTCAAGTTTGGCACACTTGATGATTATTTTGTTACTCTACGTGAGGAAGCAGAAAGAAAGAACTATTCCCTCCATGGAGAAATAGGATCTGGAGAACTTAGTGGATTCCCTTCTCTTTCAGGCGATTTCTTTACTTATGCTGACAGGAATCAAGATTACTTCAGCGGATACTTCGTTTCAAGGCCGTTCTTCAAAGCTGTAGACCGCATACTGGAACAGACGCTACGGGCATCGGAGATTATGGTTTCATTTGTTCTAGGATACTGTCAGAAGTTACAATGTTCAAGACTTCCTATAAGTTTTTCTCACAAGTTGACTGCTGCTAGGAGGAGTCTAGCTTTATTCCAGCACCATGATGGAGTTACCGGTACTGCAAAAGATCATGTGGTTGAAGACTATGGGACTCGCATGCATACTTCTTTGCAAGACTTGCAGATATTTTTGTCGAGAGCTGTTGAAGTCCTTCTTGGGGATATTCATGACAAGAGAGATCCTACAGTGTTGGCCAGTTTTGAGCCTGAGCAGACCAGATCCAGATATGATGTCCAGGCGGTCCATAGGATTCTTGATATTCATGAAGGGCAGTCCCATTCAGTAGTCTTCTTCAACCCTTTGGAGCAGACAAGGGTTGAGGTTGTTATGGTTATTACATCCACACCCGACATCTCTGTCATCGACTCAAATGGAGCCTGTGTTCCGAGCCAAGTTTCTCCAGAACTGCAGCCATATATGAAGGACAAAATTTTCACGGGCCATCATTGTCTTTATTGGAAGGCTTCGGTACCTCCAATGGGCTTGGAAACTTATTATGTTACTCGCGGATTCAAAGGTTGTGAAAAAGCAGCTCTTGCTGAAGTGAAGATATGGCCAGATCTGGGTTCCTTAACATGCCCTTTTCCTTATACCTGTTCAAAATTAGAAGGAGAGAAGGCAGAAATTCGCAATGCCCACCATACCATCGTAGTTGATGCAACTCATGGTTTGATAGAACAAATTATTCATAAAGATGGCCGAAAAACTGTTCTTGGGGAAGAAATAGGTATGTATAGCAGTATTGGAAGCGGAGCCTACTTGTTTAAACCGACGGGTGAAGCTCGTACGATTATCGAGAAAGGCGGCCACTTCATCATATCATCGGGGCCACTGGTGCAAGAATCTTACTCTGTTCCAAAAACTAAATGTTCTAAGGCACCAGTCTCTCACAGCACACGAATCTACAAGCTAGAGAACACCATGCAAGAATTACTAATTGAGAAGGAATACCATGTTGACATACTAGGTGGAGAATTTAATGACAGGGAACTTATTGTCAGATTTAAGACAGACATCGACAACAAGAGGATTTTCTATTCTGATCTAAATGGTTTTCAAATGAGCAGGAGAGAAACTTATGATAAAATTCCAATACAAGGTAATTATTATCCAATGCCTTCTCTTGCCTTCTTACAGGAAACATCAGGTCGTAGGTTTTCTGTGCATTCGAGACAGTCACTGGGAGCAGCAAGCCTTAAGAATGGTTGGCTGGAGATCATGTTAGATCGCCGTCTTGTTAACGATGATGGCCGTGGCCTAGGACAAGGAGTGATGGATAACCGCCCGATGAATGTTGTCTTCCAAATCCTCATAGAATCCAATGTTTCTGCCTTGCACTCTACTAAATACTTAACGCTCCATCCATCAATTCTTTCCCATTCTGTTGGGGCTCACCTAAACTACCCCATGCATGCATTTGTAAGCAGGAAAGAGGAGGCGATACCGTCGAAGCCGTCCTCGGGAACCTTTGCTCCTTTGTCTTCTTCCTTGCCGTGTGATTTGCATATAGTGAACTTAAAAGTTCCGCAGCCTCTGAAGTTCCCCCAGGCTCAGTCAGTTGAGCCAAGGTTTGCCATTTTTTTACAAAGAAGAGGTTGGGATTCTTCATACTGTAGTAGGGGGGAGTTGGAGTGTTCATTAGTGAGTAATGAACCTGTGAATTATTTCAACATTTTTAAAGATCTTTCCGTTCAGAATATGAAGCCAACTTCCTTGAATCTCCTGCATGATGACCCTGAAATGCTGGGATATGCTGAACAGCGTGGCAATGTGGGCCAGGAGGTTAATATGGTGCTAAATCCCATGGAAATACAGGCATTCAAATTAGAGCTGCAACAACGAACTTGAGTACAGATATCTGATATCTGAATAGTTTTAGTCATGGTAATTACTTCTTTGTGTATCATTCTCTTGACCTCAGAGTTTTTTTTTCTCTTTTAATGGTACTGGCATAAAGGTTTCTCGCAAGTAGATGAGATGGATACTTTTATATCCAAGCCTTGTTCTTCTCTACATATATCAGTTTGGTGGCATTGAATTTTCCACAACTTGGCAATTTCAACTTAATTTTCTAGTTCTTTAAGCTTAATTTTTCGTTGAATTGTAATGAAATTTGTCATAGTTTTGGGCTACCAAACAATATCTTGTATTCCTCTGAATTTTGGCTATTTTATCTTTGATGTTATGCAAAGAAAGCTTGTTTTCATTGCCTCTGTTACTTTTGCTACGATTTTTTGTTTTTATGATACATAAGAATTGTGTAATATGCATGCAAATTTCCCTAAATATATTTGAGGGAGGAGCTTAGATGAGTTGAGTGAGTTCGGGAAACTTAGGCTTCTTTATATGTTATGTTATATATAATAGATAGATGCGCATGGTCGTTATAGCTGCGCCATATGCATGATATGCCATGGTTTGGGCATGCGAATATTGTCGGTGTGGCTTGGGTACAATCTAAGGACATCCAAGGACATAGTGATGATGTTTGTATAACTCTGCATTTAAAATTTAGTAGATTTGGATATCCTTATGAGCCTTCGTCTCCCCACGGCGCCACCTTCTGCTGATCCTATGGCTTTTGGACGCCTGATACCTGTCTTTTTTGCTGATGGTGTTCATTGTGGCTCTCAGCCTCTTATGGGTCTGATCAGAGGCATTGCATCTTCAACTTTTCCTGCTCCCATCCTTCAATCGCTCCACCTTCTTAGTGCCACTGTAAGCTCGCTCTTTTGATCCCTGAAACAACTATCTGTTGAAGTTGGCTTTTGTAGGAAAGTTCATGGCTTGGAGACCTTCTCTTCACTTTATTAGGAATTGGGTGCTACGTATTTAAATGCTGCTTCATTTTATTTTTACGTTTATTGTTTGATTAAAAAAATTGCGTCATAATGATGGAACGGTCTCATGAAATGTTAATTATATGTATTATCTCTATTCTATTAATTTATTATCATTTTAAAAGAACTCGTAATAATAGTTGGGGCATTTATGTGCATATATCACTCAATTCTTATGTATTTCATATCTAACACCTTACCTTTATTTATTTATTTTTTACAATTTATTACATTTATACGACCACAATCTTTCATATAAGATCAATAATCACCTTTTTACTGTTAAATTTACATTTATACGACCACAATCTGTCATATAAGATCAATAATCACCTTTTTACTGTTAAAAAGTGAAATATAATTTTTCATGTATAGGAAATGTATATATATGTAAATATTGAAGATTTTGTTTTAGATATGTAAATACATAGGAATTGCAGGATATGTATATAAGTCCTTTTAATAATTAAAATAATATTGAACTTGCTGAATTTGAAATTGTCCGGATGCGGGGTGCCCACCCAAGGAATAGAGCATGATAGAGAAGAGGGAGTAGAGAGGAGACATCAATAAACATTATACAACACAAGCTTTATTGGATAAAATGACTCCTAGTTTAAGATTATATTTATGCCCTGTAATCATTAGATTTGTGAGAGTTATTTTACGACATTATAGACGTGTCAGATACGTCAGTCGGTAAAAATTTCTTCAGTTGGTAGATATTTCTTTAGTTGAGGGACTATTGTCGATTGGTGCATCTCAAGCCGGTCGACTCATCCTAGACTGAGCGGTCCACCTTAAACCGATCGATTCACCCTTTGCTGATCGGTTTCAGGTTCGACCACATCTAAATGGATTCACATTATTGGTATAGGGTTTTAGTTCTAGTCATTCTAAGTTTTTTTTTGTTGTTGTTCTTGATGCCCAGCCATAAAGGTCCTGACGGATCCCAGTACTAATCCAGCCGAAAATGCTGTAGCCATGGACCAGGAGAAAAATTTGAGTACGTAAAACGTACGCAGCGCTGTGTATGTCACGGAGGTTATTCAGAAGGTATTGAGGAGTTATATCCGCGTTATACTCTTGTAATCTATCTGTAACCTATAAATATATGAAAATAAATGCGTGAAACTTAGTAGAAGGTGATAAGGTACGTAGAGAGGAGCAGGAGATGATCGATCACCGAGATGGTCCTCCCAAGACTCACGGGGAGGGACCGAAGGATCCCAGATGTCTCCTAGCATAACTAGGTTGGCATTGTTCTAGAAGATAAATTCTTTCTTTCTTCTCCTCTGAGTTTCCATTTTTTGTCGTCGTTCCTTCACTTCCTCCATGATGGCTCTCGAGTTTTCACAATAAACTTTTGGCTCGATCGCCGCTTCCGAAACTTCTATGTTGTCGGCGAGCGATGCAAAAGAGATACGATCTGTACGTTCTTAGTCCTTCAATCTGACTCTGACAGGCAGCCAGCGGCGAGCGGGCTACAGATAGGTTCAAGCGGACCTAGTCTTCTACAAAGACCAGTTTAAGAAGGTTTTTCGATTGCCATTAGGGCTGTCACAATGGCTCGTTGTTCATGAACAACTCGTGTTCGACTCGTTCGCTAAGTTAACGAGCCGAACACGAACTACTACTAATCAATTTTATATATATATATATATATATATCTTTGATGAGTAATATTTTTTAAAAAATTAATTGACTATAAGGATAAAAAGATTTATAATCAATTAAAAGTGTTAATAAAGAAAATAGAATAACAATTATTAATTTAGATTCAAATGATTTTTAAATTTTGCCTCAATCCTTAACATCTTATGGCTACGTGATTAGGGTTGTCAAAACGACTCTTTTTTTCGTGAACGACTCGTGTTCGGCTCGCTAAGCAAACGAGCCGAACACACTTTTTGAGCTCAAAATATAAACGAGCCGAACACGAGCTGAGCCTGGGCCCGCTCGTGTTCGGCTAGTTTACACCCCTAGTTGCCGTTGTGCAGGGAACTTCAATCAATCTTCAATGGTTATGGAGTCCTTGCGGCGCAGGTGGTTTCGAACTCCGTGGAGGCGATCGTGACTTTCTTTCTTTTCAGCCAGATGATTAAGATTTCCTGGACCATTGAACTGTTCAACCATTTCTTGATCTTTAAGGTCGGTCGAAATGGATATGTCCAGCTTATTGCAGACAATAAGATCCAGCAGTTGGGGCTCGAAAATAAGATGAAGGATTAAAAAATCAAGTTTGTGATTGCCTACTGTATAATTGGTTGGAGGATTCACGCTCTTCATGAAGCGTCCAAGCCCTGCTCTCTACTGGTTGGACTCGTCATCGGTAAACAGGGTCCAAGCACATATGTCGGCCGTTCATTCTCTTTTGGCTTCCCCAGGTTCCAAGAAGTCCGTAAGGATGCCGTCAACTGCTTGTGCCTTGATGGTCGTTCAGGGGACATAAGAGATGTCAAACTTGCTTAGCTCTATCGCCCACTTTAGTGGTCAACCAGAATGCTTTGGCAGAGTGGTGATGACTCAAATCGGGTGCACTTGGAAATACGGTCGGAGCCTTCATGTTAAAATAATCAAAGCAAATGTTAGTTTTTCTATAATTGGATATATGAGTTGTCTTTTGAAGTCGTCCTTGACTAAGACTGAGCTAACCGCCTATAGTCTGACTCCCAGGAAAGTTTTTCCTTTGGCTGCAGACTCTGGAGAAGAGGAGGAGATGCTAGGGAGTGTTTCAACCTTTAGAAAGCTTCTTCGTATTTGGTCGTCCACTCAAAGCTCTTGGCTTTGCTTAAAACCTTGAAGAAAGTGACACATTTATTACCTGACTTGGAAATAATTCAGCTAAGTCCTGCGATTCTACTAGCTAACTTTTTTATCTCTTTAGTGTTCCAGGTAGACTACATGTTAACAAGTGCTTGGACTTTTATACCTTTTGTGGACATAAAGTATCTGAAAATTTTGAAGTCTCAGTTTCGAATGTACATTTCAAGGGATTTAATGTCATGTTGAATTTTTTAAGTGTTTTAAAAGTTTCTTTTAAGTCTTCAATATGTTATTTTGTCGACTGACTCTTAACTAATACATCATCTATGCACCCTTCAATATTTTTTTCTTTCTAATTTACAAAAAATACATCCATCAAATGATGGTACGCTGCCCCGACATTATTCAATCCAAATGACCTGATATTATAACAATAAATTTCTTTTTCTTCGCTAGTAATAAGAGCAATTTTTTCTGCATTAGCTCGGTGCATTTTGATTTGATGGTACCCAGAGAAAGTGTCCAAGAAACTTAAGATGAAGTGACCAACCACAGAGTTCACCAGGGTATCGATCCTCGGAAGCGGGTAACTGTCCTTTGGGTAGGCTGAACTCATGTTCGTGAAATCCATGCACATCCTTCATTTACCACTGGCCTTATGAACCATCACGACATTAAAAATCCATGTAGGTTACTGCACTTTTCACATATAGCAGACATCTTTGAACTTTTGTACTTCTTCTCGGATGGGTCCTGTTAACGTCGTGGCCGAAGTCCTGATCTTTTTCTTCATCGGTTGGATGGATGGGTAAACGTTCAGTCAACGACATATTACGTCGATCAATATCCCTGGCATTTACGCCACTGTCCAGGCGAAAATACCTCAAATCTTTTGGAGGGTCTGGATCAACAAGTATCTCTGTCATGTATTAGAAGACTTGCTGGTTAAAAAATAGTTACCTGGTTCTCCATCGATGACAGGGATCCCTAGGGTAGTTTCGCTAGTTTTTAGACATTCTCCCATATAGTTCTGGATGTCCAGTGGGTCATGTTCTACACTGTTGAATGCTCGATGATAATTGATCCATAATTGCTCCAAGTCGCCCTGAACAATGATAATCTTCCCATTTTCTGGAAACTTCACCGCTACATGGTACGTGGAGACTATTGCCCTGAAGGTATTCAGAAGCGAACGACCAGAGATGGCATTGTAGATTGGTGGTGGAGAGTCCACCACAAGAAAATCCCCCATGGATGCAAACTACTTTTCACTTTCCCGCCAACTGACTGCAAGGGCCATCACTCTGAGTTCCTCTTTTCGTTCGCCCAAGAAAACATACAACAAGCCGACTAGTGCCACCAACCGATTGATGGACAAACTCAATTTGTTGAACAAAGATTTGAATAACACGTTTATAGAACTCCCTATGTCGATTAAGATGCTCCCCACCTGAAAGGTACTGATCATTGATGCCACGACAATGACATTGTTGAATGAGTTCCCCTTTGAGGGCATGTCAGCGTCCGTGAAGATGAGGGGAGGGTAGGCCCTCCTCCTTGGGGCAATGACAGTGCAGAGTTCCTCTGTCCGACACCTCTTCCGAGTTGTTCGTCAGGAGTATTCAGCTCCTTCGAAGATGGTGGGCACCGCCCCGACTATATGGATGACATTTATGTGCACTGACTCATCAGGGACTTCCACCATCAGGGCTTTTCTCTGTCTCTGGGTCGCTTCTCTAGGAGCAACAAATTACTTCAACTTCTCTGCCTTGATCATCTCCTCAACCAAGTTTCAGAGATGTCATCACTCCTTTGTATCATGGTCGTAATCTCAGTTGTATTTGCAGTAGTTCTTGGTATCCAAAAGGAAAGCTCTATCTCCCATCAGAGGGGCTTTCTTGAAGTATTCTTTATCTTGAATGACGTTCACTATCTCCACCATGAATACTCTCATGGGAGTAGCTTGAAGGCCCTCATGACAGTGTTGCAGCCATTCATTGCTTTAAATAGGTCTTTCATGGTACATAGCTAGTCGCAGGGTCTAACTCCTCGGTCGACTTCCTTGGTTGTTACTCTGATTGGCCCTGTTGTTACTGTGGGGTGGTCATCCGTCATTATACCGCAGACGGATAGGGGGACACAGGTTCTCCTTCGGCTTCTACCCACGGTTCTGTGGGGGCCTCTTCTATAGAGATGATTTGATGTTTCGTGTACAGTGATTCTCTCGTAGACGTTAATGTACTTGTTGGCAATCTCTAGTAATTCAGTCAAACTCCGAGGTTCTTCTAAGTTGAGGTCAAAGTGGAACCTTTCGAACTTCAGGCCCTGAGTTAAGGCAACCTGTGCCATATCAAATCTCAAATCCTTCACCTCCAACATTTCTCTCTAAAATCGTATAATGAATGAGTCTATGCTTTCATTTGGTCCTTGTTTAAACTGCCATAAAAACTGTGCACTTTTCTTCAGTCTCAGTGTGATTGCAAACTATGCCAAGAAAAGTCTTCTGAAGTCGAAAAAATAAGAAATCACTCATGAGGGTAATGAGTTGAACCACCTCAGAGCTGATGATCTCAGGGTGGTGAAAAATAATAGACATTTGAACGCGTTAGAGATCTTTAGCAAACACATTGATGATTCGAAGGAAGCAAGGGGTTCATTGGGATCCGATGGATCCTTGTAAGCTTCCAACATCGGGATTTTAAAATTTCTTTGGGGATTCCACTCCTAAAATTTGAAGAGAGAAAACATTCTCTGGTTGCCATGGGGTCTCAATATGCCCAAATCGCTTTCTATCCATCATTGGAGCTGTGACAACCCAGTCGGGCATGAAGTTAACCAAAACGGGAACAAACGGTCGGATGGTAGAAATCCTCTGTTATTCTATTTCTATCACAAACAGTTTAACAATTAGAAAGTAGCTTTACAACAACTTCGTGAAAAAGCTGATTAGATGGAAGCTGGAATTTGCACATTATTGTTCTTCTTAAATAATACAGTTTATCTGCCTTTTTATTTTTTTACTTTCTTGGGATCTTCAGTCGAAATGGTAAAATATATTCATCATATAATCGGTAGCCTCAAGACATGTATTTGAATTTGAAAAAAATTATCTAAGAATTTGCAATCGATTATAGTATATTTTACTTGGTCTTATCGTATGTTGCCATCTTTTTACTCGAACTTATGTCTGACTTTGCGAAATATACTTTGTCAATTTAAATCTCTTAAAATCTCATTAGTTCGGATTTTTCATTCGTACTTTTGCAATCTAATTTTTTATAGCACTTATAAATTTATCATATTATTTTTGAAGAGCTATTGATCTATTCATCTTATTTTTGTTTTTTTTTCTTGAGTGTACAAATTTGATGTTCCATCGAGAAAATTTTAAAATCTGACATGAACCTCAAAGCATTTTTCAGTAATACATATTTCAAATTCAAATTGAAGTTCATCCAAGCCTGAATTTCAATAAGTTGATTTTAAAATTGAGTGCCTCAACAAAATCAAGACAAATGAAACACTTGTAGTGTTTGATGCATTAATTGAAAGACTAAATAATCTCTAAATTTAGTCCATTTATAGTCAAATAAAGCGGTTTGACGAGAGGAATTCATCGAGCCCAAAATCATCTAATTATAAGATTCTTACGGCACCTAAATGTTTAAGAAATTACATGTGGCCAAGGAAATTAATATGGATTGCCCTATAAAATTTTTTGCAATTCTAGCTAAATATATCAAAATATCCATCTCAAAAACAGTAAATATGCCCCAATTCTTAACTTTAAGTAATGAGAAAAGAAAAATGCACTCCCAACTCACACCATTACTCTTGATGAGAAATCCAAGCGAACAATCACCAGTTGTTGTAGTCGCCAACTATAGCCTCTATGGCCAGCTCTGCTATAGCTACCAAGTGCCGCTTTTTAATAACTACTACTTTTATAGCTACCAACTATAATTATTATAATCTAATTATAACTATTATTGACAACAAGTCTAATAAAATTATGATCGTCAATTTTTGTAATTTTATAGTGGATTATTTTGATTGAGTTAAGCCGAGTGATTTATTCCATATACAAATCTATTTCACCTAAAAAAAATGATTCTCTTACATCTTCATATGTCTGTGCTAGAAAAATATAATGAACAAAGTTATAAGATTTCTCTGCAGTTGAAAATTTTCGAATACACAACAAGCTTAGTTATGTATAATTTTTTTGGCATTCTCTATGTGATATTTTCATTATAAACTTACATAAATACCACTTAATTCATTTGTATTTACATGACGATCATCTAAACTTCAAATTTCATGCATGAGCCATCTTATCCATGCATGGAAGTTTTATTTTATTTTTTTGAGTTAAAATAATGTCATTTTTATGTAATATAAGGAATTTTTATGTTAGATATAAAAATACATAAAAGTCAGGTGGTAAGTTTGCAAATATTTTTTAATATATATTTTTATTTTTGTATACTACAACCTCATGTTGAATGTACCTACTCCAACCCCTAAGCAACTTTGAACTTCCACTATCTTAAGCCTATAGGAGCGCTTAATTTTGTTCTTCCAATTTAATATAAGTATATAACCATTCCCCTCTAAATGTTATTGTTTTATATAACCTTCAAACTCAAAATAATTAAATAATTATGATTTTTAACTCCTTCACACTTCAATCATTTACCAAGCTTGTGTACATCATTTATAAAACATTTATTTAAATGAAATGTTAATTCATACTTACATTTATTTAAAAGATATGATTTTTTGTTATATTTAGAAATTTTTTTAACAAATTTATTTGTAATTTGACAATTAATAGAAGACATAAATGTTGATCTCATATTTGAGTTGAGACCATCTGTTGATCTCAGCAAGGAGTCATTTGATGAAATAAAGCCAAGAAAGAAAATCTTTACAAATCTACCTCATTGAATCGTTGTAGTCTAAACCAGAGCCATACTTCCATGCTTCCAGATGCCGCCTCCACCTGTACTTGTTCTTTTCTGGGAGGAGTTCGATCCATGGCCTAAACTTGAAACTAAAATCAGTAAAAAGTCTCTCCTTGAATATTGGAAATTGCTGATCAAAGGAATGGAAAATAAAAAAAAAAAAGTAGCCCAAAATAGTGCAAAAATTAAATTTTAATTAGGTAAAAATTAAGATAACTCAAATTTAATTATAATCATCTGAATTGTGTAAAAATGAGTAAATTACTAAGAATATTCATTAATCTAATCAAATTAGAGTATGAATATTTCAACGCAACGCAACTAATAAGTAAGAGATTATATTACACTCATGATGAAGTAAATCTGATGATTAATCTAATCAAATTAGAGTATGAATATTTCAACCTAAATACTTTCATTCAAAAGAATAATAAGGGGCATTTACATACATATCACTCAATTCCTACGCATTTACATATATAACATCTAAACTTTGCTTCTTATATCTATACCACCCAAATATTTCATTACAAAAAAAGATCACTATTTCAATTTTTAAAAAAGTGAAATGCAACTTTCCATGCATATGAAGGGTGGTATACTCATAAAAATTGTAAGTTAAGGTGTTACATACCTAAATAAATAAGAATTGAGTCGCATGTATGTGAATCTTCCTAAGAACAAATAGGAAATCATTGAGTGTTCTTTTAAGATCATAAGGCATTGCTTACCTTATGATAGGACTGATATAGCTGGATAAAAAGGTGTAGCAACCAAGCATTGAAAAATGCCGGAACCAATCAAGGATCACATCAAAGCCAACCTAAAGAAACAAGTTCATACAAAAGGTAAAATTGTATTTCTAGTTGTGCTGATGTCAGGTATGATAAGCTATGTTTGCTGGAATATGTTACAAACAGGCCTATAGGAAATTTATTTATGATAAATATTCAAATCAAAGCATATACACATATACCAAGTCAAAAAATATTTTAGTTTTCAAGATACTTTAGCAAATGGGAAACTCACATGTTTGAATATTGATGGTAAGATTTGGGGGTGAAATATCATAACCAAACCCAGAGTCTTCACTAAAGGTCCAAACTGTATCACATCCTGAATAATTTAAAACCCAGGTGCTCAGATCAACAGTATCAAAATCAAAAAAGGCAAAGCAGCACCTTCTGAAATTCCCAAAGCAGAAAGTAAAAGCAGAGAAGGTAAGCTATTAACCTGAAGAAATGGGCGAAGGACGCCATCACCGAGCCTCTGAAGAAGCGTAGTAAAAGGAAAAACATGTAGAAGCAGAAGCTAAAAAACAAATATTCTTGCAGTTAATCATTGGAAGGTAATAATTACCTGCATAGCTTGAAAATTGTAAAAAAGGAGTTCATTAATAAAGGTGGGGGGCACATCAGAATCTGATCGTGCTGACATTGCTCTTTGAAACAACCATGAGGCGCTTAGGTTTGGCTGCAAAAGTTAACATTCCAATTTATGTATATGCAAGAAAATAGTAAATTGAACAGATCATAAAATACAGACCATGTAAGGGTTCAATAAACTCAAGTTGTGCTGATCAAGGAATCCCCCGGCTACTGCTTCATATATCCCTATTTAAAAGAAGAAAACTCCATAAAAAATACGTAATCTTAAATGGAAGTTTTTTAAAGAGCATATGGGTAGAGAATTTTGATTGTTTAGGTGATGGAAAGGTACCTAGTATAACTAATACCCTGACAGATTACTAAATCTAGTTTTTAGCTACATGAAAGAAAAGAATTCTAAAATAAAACTTTTTTTTTTTTTTTGGTATATTGGTAGTTTACTGAGTTCATAAGTTGGTAAAATCAACAAGGACATAATCTTTTCAGCGAAATACAAACAAACTGCCAATGGAAAGATCCACAAGTGCTAGAAAGCATACCAGCTGAAAGTCGGCGGAGGTGTCGTGTCATGCTACCGAAACCACCAAAAGAAACCGGTGATTGGATTCCGCTGGCATCACCAACCTGCACAAACGATAGCATTGAAATAGTACCAAAGAAACTGCATAATCTAGTACTTTCGACAGTTCAATATCTCACTTGGACAATACGGTCAAATGCTGCTCGAAGAGGGCTGCATTCATATTCATTTGAAAGAAAGATGTTAGATTATGAAAAGTAAATATCTTACAAGACTAGCAGTACTACAGAAATGATGGCATCAAACGTTAAGCATCTTGCAAGGTCAACAAATAAGCCGGGAAGCCTACGGGAGAAATATGCCCAATAATGGATGAATTATGCTTAAAAGCGCAATACTAGGATGCACAATTTAAGATAAAAACTTGGTAATACAAGAAAATCAAGGTAGCTGCACACTATGTTGTTGTATGCTTTGTCATGATTCATGAAGATTTACAGTAACTTCTGGTTATATTGTGACAATCATTTGGCTGCTACTTAACGGTTCATTCATAGGAACAACGGCATACAAAATTCAGCTCAGCTTCGAAGAAGTCTAAAGGTCTCACACAGAGAAGAGAAGAAGAACTATCAGCTTAAACATCTCATAGCTCTGTGGTTTATTTATTGTGAGCGGTTGACCACTGGTCATTATCGATGTAAGAAAAAGATAGAAAGAGTATTAAATGAAGATTTAAATGTATATGCTTAATTTATTTAACTTCTCAAAATTATGGTAAAACATACGGTTAAAGACCGTATCCGGGAAAAAACACTAACTTCACAAATAATATATAGTTGAAGTTCGAAAATTTTTGAACAAAATATACAGATTTTTAAATGGCATATAAGTCATACATGCAAAATTAGATTTATAAGAGCTATGATTGCTAGACTACATGATAATAAATATAAGAATACTAAAATCAAGATTCAGAAAATTGAGAATAATGACAGATCTAAAAGAGAATGGAATGGCTTGAAACATTAAGAAAATGGCTTGACGCAAGAGCTATTAAAACGTTCACTCTACAAACATAGGGGCAGCATCGCATAAATCAACTCAGTCAAACAGATCCTGCATTACGGAAAACACTATACACTTGATGAACTTTATATCAGCTCAATGCTAGAGGTGAAAATTATAATAGTAACTTTATTTTCAATGAAACCCATTCTCAACGTGAAAGTGAAACCTTAGAAAATGTGCTTTTTGTAATGTGAGAGAATAATGCGTAAATTAGATTATTATAGTTTTGAATTTTAATATAACTGAATTTAAGAATAATTTTAATAAGATACAAAAATTGATAGCTATTTTGAATATTTCCAACATGAGAATATTATAAATGTTTTACTAAGAAGCGTTGATAACTACAACATTTACTCATAGTTGAACAATCAGATGTCCGATGGAACAAATCCTCCTTGATACGCTATAATGACTCATCATCCTATATTACTGTTGCAAATTCATGGAAGTATCGGATGGTGTCTAGAGAAAGAGGGAAAAAAAAAAAATTGAAGTATAAGAGAGTCTAGAGTGAATTGAATAAGTTTTCATTCATGTTTCAAATAAAACGCAAGGGCCAAAAAGATAAGTACACTTGTAGAGAAAGAGAGGTAGGGCAAGTCACCAGCTAAAGGCAAGGGATTAGATGAGGGGGATGCAGAGCACAAATATTTTTATTTCTTGTAAGCAGCATGCAGTCATATGAAATATGTAAAAACCCATGGAGATTGAATGAGCTTGGCATGCAAGATTCGCCAATAAAAATGAACTAGAGATGTTAAATTTGATAAAATTTTAAGGAAAGTTGGCAGTAGAAGACAAATGGTGGCTTCATCAAATTACCACGAGAAGATATGCAAAACACGAAAGCTTTTAAGTTTCCAACAACCTGAACACACAACACTTATTTTAATATTGCTCCGATGGTTAAATGTTTATGTTTTTCGGGATCAGGGATATGATTGCGTGGATTCTTATTAAAACAATAATGTACCTAAAAGTCCCCATAAGAGTTGAGAACCAATGATAAACTTGTTGGCGCCTTCCATTTACCGGTGCAAATCGGTAACAAAAACACTTAGACCCTTGCACAGAATTGATTGCTTTGCAACAAAGCGGTGTTGTGCTATGTTGTGATAACACCCTAGGCCATAATTTCTTGGGTATCATTCACTTTGGCTCATGCGGTCTCCAAAAATTCCGAGCCCGTAACTCTTTGTTTTGTTTTTTGAGGTTGAGAGCTTTAAAGAACAAAATTTCATAACGTAGATTGGATTGTAGATCAAATCATGCGGACAAAAAACTCGGGTCATATTCTTACTATCATGAAATTATTTTGAGTGTGAATATAGTGATCCACTCAATATGACATTCCCTCTTCGTGAGCTGAAGTGAATCAAAATTTTGTCATCCTCAATAAATTGTTGCAAAGAGTGGATGGAATTTGATTTAAGTCTTTTTAAGTAAACAATTTTACTAAAATATTTTAGTTGGTTATTTTAAAAATCTTGGTTTTAAAAATTGACCCCTCTAGTTAAAATATTATATCAACTCGACCATCATTGGGAATCTGATATTTAAATTTCTTGTCAAAGATTCATTTGAAATTTGTAATTTGATATCTTTAGCATATTAGTCATGTCGACTTCAGTCCTACAAAAAAAGATCAGACTAGGAGATTTGAACTTACAAATTCTTATGTATATATGTGTGTGTGTGAGAATTGGACATTATAAAACTTATAGACTCGTCAACCCCAGTGCTTCAAAGAGGGAGGATTAGACTAGGAAGGTGAGACTTACAACTTTGCCCTCAAGATAGGGAGACTCAATTGATTGCTTTTAAAATATGAACTATTTGAGTGCAAATTTAGCCTTAACCTGCACAATATTTCTAACATATTTGTTAAAGCATCTAAAATTTTAGCTAGAGCTCATGCGGATGATATGCATGAGATACATGATATGTACGATATATATGATAGGAAATATATGCATGATGCAAGATAAACATGATATGAGAGATATGCATGATAAAAGAGAAATATTTGAAAAAAGAGATATAAATGATATGAAAGATATACATGATATGAGAGTTATGTATGATGAATAGTTGCGCGGCAGAATAAGAATGCATGTTATGAAGAATAAAATAGTTTATATATGAATGTTTGAATGTTTGCATGTGCATGTTCAAAGAAGTAGTTCACTCCCTAATGGTACTGACAGGAGACGTCAGTGCACCCACATACATAATTTTTGTATCACCCTAGACAATTGTGATATTTAGATCACTAATGTTGTATTGACGAGAGAATATTGGCCAACGGCGAGAAGATATAGTTCACCACCTCAAATAATTATGATGTTTAGATCACTAATCGATGCGCCAATGTGAGAATATCAACGAGGGGCGAGTGAGAACCTTTCTAACCCAGACAATTGTGATGTTTCAATCGTTAATTGTTGTGCCGACGAAATAATATCGGTTAGGGGTGTGTTAAATTTTGTTGACGGTAATCCTCAAACAGATAGATGTGGTAAAGAATATAAAGTTAAAGTAAAGTTAAAGTAAATGCATATAGAATAATTGAGTATTTTCATTTAGAAAATGTCATTGATTCATGCATTAGCATTTATAAGATTTTTTATAAAAATATTACAAACTAGCATATTATAAGATTTCTTATAGAGAAATGAAAGACCGGCATGCATACTGATTTTTTTCTTGAGTTACTGTAATTTAAAAGTGTGATTACTCGTGGATTATTTTTTGATAACTCGTTATATTGTTTTAATATTTTTTTAGTTTTAAGCTTTTGAACAAGATGAATAGAAGATGAGCAAATGTGTATAGAGACCGAGACTAGCAACCGAAAATGTATAAATTTCTACTTGTTAATTTAATTGCATTTTTTAAAGGTTCTTTCATGAATATTTAAATATTAACCTATTAGTAAAAGGAATAGAATAAAAGAGATTTAATTTTCACCGTCCGATCATATGTTCCTGTCTTAGATAATTCCAAGTCCCGGGTCAGGTCTCTGTGTACAACGATCTCTTTGTTGGGTTATGCGAGTGACAGAAGGAATGAGAAGTTTCGGAGGTCTCTGTGTACAACTATCTATTTGTTGGTTTCATATTATCCTTAATCACGACTATGGAGGAGATAAGACGGGTTATCCCGGGGGAAATTCACCGCGATAGAGAAAACGAAGTGGAACCAGCAAAGGGTTTTGTGCATCTCGAACGGAGAAAGAGGACGATGGGAAAGTACAATGGAGACGTGAATGAGCACTGCAAGTTATGGGAGACAACTTTTACATCAAACAAAAGCGCGAAATTATGAGGCAAAAGCATGAGCGGGAATGGATGAATTAATATTAATTAAGTTTAATTAAAACTAATTAATGATATTAATTATTTTTAATGGCTTGTTAACGTCAATAGCTCAACCCATCTCATACCAAGATAACACCTCTAATTTTTATGCTTTTTATATGAAAATTCCCAAAAGATCACCCATCTAAAGAGTGAAAAATTAAGAACATGTTTAATTGAGTTCACAATAGAAATCCACACATTACACCAAAAGACACTTTGCATGCCATGGAACAACTCTTACTTAAATAACTCAGCAACACTTTCCTCTTTGGATATGAGATATGGTTCATTGATACCACCTTTTACTTGAAAGCCTATGAAATCGCTATCTATCCTTGCGCCAACCCCAACTATCAATCACCAACCTCATTAGACAATCCTCTTTAGATTCAAGATATCATATGATCAAAGCCTTCCGCTTGATTAGTCCTCAAATACACATCATATTTAGCCATGATATTAATTTTAATGACGGACCATATTATTTCCAGTATTATTCACTTTTGCTAAGCCCACCCCATATAAAGTTGAACTCATGAGTTTATATCCTTCTTTTTCCTGTAAGTTCTAGTACGTCACTAATCCTAGAAGTGATCCATATAAATGAGGTTGGAAAAGAGTTGAAGGGATTCACCACATCGATGATAAATTCAGCCATCGAAGATCATAACCGTGCAAAGGAATGTCAAATTCAAAAAAGATCTAACTTCTCAAGTTTGGGCGTAACTATCCAAGATTAATATCAAAGCAACCCATATCATTTGCATCTCACTGATA